TATCCCCAAATAGAATACTATATCCCCAATATAACCCCAATATATTCCCTAGTTTCCATTTCATTTTCCATTTTCTTTTCCATTTGATTCTCCATTATAGTAGTTTCCATTTTCTTCTCCATTATCCCTATTGTTCTGAATTGCTTCACGCATCAAGACAGCACAGGAGTCCTGGCGCACCATGCTTTTCAAAGTCCGGAACTTATGGATCTCAGGCGCGGTACAAGGGAAAGGGTCTTTGCCAATTTTGCTTCGGTATGGCTGCTAATGGCATCTCCATGGGTTGGACGAAGGCTCTCTAATAGCGGCTGACTCTCATTGGTTAACATTGTTTGCGCTCCAGAGGCAACGTTGATGGTCACAGTTGCATGACAATTCCCAAGGCTGCTTTAGATGAATTGTTTGCGACATCTGAGCATTTGTTTACGACATTTTCAATCTTTCAATTTTACAAGATTTTCTCCAGCCGTTGGGAGGCACCCGCCCACAGGGTTGCTTACAATGTTGCTTTTGCAGGATTTCTTCCGTCATGTCTTGTTGACCAACCAACCAAACGAATTCCACTTCTTCCCCGCCTATCAGGACCCCGAAATTGTCTTTTCGAATTTGTACCTCACCTTTTTCCCATCAGCAGACCTTCGAACCCTAAATCCCATGCCAGGGTACGAGAACGTAGACATCCAGGACCTGGGCCCGCTCACGGTCCTGCTCTTAAGTCCCTCAACATATTTAATGCGGCGTACATGCTGTTGCGTGTTGTTCGACGCATGTTTGTATGTGAGGGAGTTCCATGTTTTTGCAATTCCCAAAGGTTTTAGACAGAGATGCTACTCCTCTAAACTTGGGAAGCAATAGGCTCCGCAGGACGCGCTCAGCATGGTGCGCCCTGTATTTCCTAGTTTTCTCCTGACGATGTCCCCGCAGGGATTTCACCCAGCAGATAGAGAAAGGAAGGAGCGTGACGTGACAACTGCGAAAGAATTTGTCCAAACCTACCCGTTGCAGTTGCAGACGTCGGCTCTAGGAACCAATTGCCCCAGTTTGCCTACCTTGCCACTGGACTCTGGCAAGAAGCCTGCTGCAGGTTTGGTCATGACGAACGTGTTGGGATACCAAGCTTGCATGAAGGATGGCCTGCTTTTGGAGGCTGCACATGACTTGATCTGACGCAAGCATAACATTGGTCTATGATTACTGATGGTCGGCACGGTCCTTTCTAGCACCCCTGCACAGACTCACACTGCACATACCTAGCTGTGTTTGTTCGCATGATGAACACGTGTTTCTTGATGTTACTGCAGTAGAGAGCATCTGGCATTGAGCAGCTTTTTGCTGATCTGATCATCAGCCGCAAGAAACATATAGTTGGACTTCTTTCGCGTCACGCGCAATCGCATCAGCACTTTTTGACATTACATGTATCCTCAAGCTCACGCAGCCTCCAAGCCTTACTCTCAACGACCGCTTCCTCCTGGGAGGCGCAGCTTGCGGCCTTCGATCTCGACACACCGTGCCCACGTAGGGATGTCAAAGAGGCACTGCCTAGTCATGTCTTCTGATTGGTGTTAAAAGGTCGTTATGGTTATGGCATGTTGAGACAGCAGGCTTCAACTCAATGCTTACATAAATCGGCTAATTACAAAACCAACAACAAGAGGTGTCGCATCTCTCTGGATCGGATGAACAACAGAACTCCATTGGGCTGCAAAATGCACAGCTCGCCAGTAATAAGTTGTTTATCCATGTTGTCACTTGCGGAAACAAGTTCTATACTACCACATACCACGCCAACAAGAAGAGGATGGGATATGCTCTTTGAAAAATGGTGCACGCTGACGCTATAGGATTCAGAACCATCAACCCTAAACCCTAAACCTTAACCCACCGCGCATGCTCAGCATGGGTCAGGTACATTGCGTCCACGCGGGCATTGCGAATCCTTAGAGGCGAAGAGGTCTTAGAAGCTTGGCTGTCGTTCATGGCACGGAATTTTAGGGTTTGAAGTGGTAGTTTTTGTCAACCATCCTTCAATCCACCAGGATTTTGGGTCTAGGGTGCAGTGTGCTTTGTTTGAGCTTGTGATTGGGAGCGTTGAAAGCGATTGGTGCGACGAGCTTGCAGAGTTTTCTTGCCACACGGTGCCTGCTGAAACATGTTTCCAATCACGGTAGGATTCAACTAGCTGCTTGATAAAATCAGGAATGGCACAATCTCCGCTTGCGAACGGCGCTTTGGCGAGCAATTCCGCTGGCCTCTCTGAAGTTATACTTCGCGTTCAGAAGCTTCATAGAGATGCCGTTCTGTCAGGCAACAGGCACACTGGACGCGCTCTCTTTTGAGTTTCATGGAGATGCTGATGGACCATTTATGCGTGCTTTAAACAATTCCAAACCACCCATCAACGTTTCCGAGTTGGCCATGTTTGCAGACGTGCATGAGCGAATTGCTGGCAAATATCATCAGTCTTTGCAGGTTGATTGGGATCAGTGGAGAAGAATGACAGCCGGGGTGTGGCATGCAGCTCACTGCAGCTCGTCAACATGGGTGCGTACCACCAAGCACAAGATTGTAGACGGCGTTGAAAACTGGTGGTTGCACCAACCGCTTGTGACCAGCAATTGGGGGAATAGCGGTGAATGGGGATCAGGAAATCTGTTCATGGCCAACATGGTTTTCTACAACGTGGTATGGGACGACCTAGCCCACAGCGATGAGGCCAGAAGTTCGTTTGATAACCTTCTGTACAAGAAAAGCAGCATTCTATATGCTTCCATTAGTGCTTTTGAAAGTGGGACTATCGTTCAAGACAGCTTGTCAGCTGCGCGCCAAAGTCGTCGTGATGAGCGGTCAGATTCCCGCTTGGAAGTGCAGAGCTTCGAACAGCAGCGGGGCAGGTTGGGCATCATCAAGTTCCGAGACATTCTCGTGGCTGTGGCTTTGGTCCTCTCGGCCATTTTGCCGGTAGCTAAGCATGTTCAAATGGCTCGGAGCGTGCGGGTGATGCACCAGAGAAGCTTCATCGCGTGTCACTTTACACTGGACATTACGTTGCTCACAAGTGCGTTGTGCATCTCGCTGGCTGGGCCTCTTGCCGAGAGCCTCGGGCCAGTCGTGCAAAAAGTGTCGTGGGCTCAGTATTCCCACTGCAACAACCTGTAGCAGGTCCTTTACAGGTTGTTAATGCATGGCGTCGGTGGTGGTTACGTTGCGCTTCCTGGCCCGTAGAGCTTTATGACGGTTTCTCGAAAGGTTGGAGTCTTGCATGGCCCACAACAAGCATTGCGGTCGAAGTCTGTAACGTGCTGCTTTTGTGTTCTGTTTTGTGTATGCTTTCCCTTGTAGCGTGACTTCACACAAGCAAGGTCTGGTGTGGTTGTGGGTGCCGTCATCAAGATCATGAATGGGGTTGATCCTAACAGCCTACCGAACTTTGCGGACGGACGGCAAATACTGGAGAAGCTATCGGAGATTTTTGTTCCACAGATTCTTCGGGCAGTAGAGGAGGAATTCCCCAGCATGTACGAGGTTTTTACACGAGTGCTTATCCCTGCCCTGATGCTGTCACCGGTCATCTTTTTGACGGCTGCGGTGTTCAGTGCAGCTTTTTTAGCGATCTCGATCTTCTTGGCATGGTTTCTGCCTCCGCAGCATGTGGAAGTACCCGCGGAGACGCTAGTAAGTGTTGGCATAGCTGGGCCACTGTATTGGCTCGCGTCGGTGGATTCCAGTGCTGTTGCTGCTTGGCTTGTCTTTCAGCAAACTCTTGGTGCACTTTGATGGTGTCCGTACATTGGACTGAATGCAACGTGCAAGGTTGAAGTTGGCCCGGCTGTCGTGAAGATGATCCTGCTTCGGTCAGTGATGTTGAGCGCTGGCATTGTCGGCGCATGGTGGAGAGTTGGTGCTTACGGTAAGGATTTCGTGTATGCCCTTGCCTTCGACAGCCAGCTCGACCAGGAGCAGCTCGTGTATCTATGGCTGGTGCTCGTCTGTTGCCATGGCTTTTCTGGCTACCTCGCTGTGCAGGCAATGTGCGATCCAGATTTGCCAGAGGAGTCAGACTCAGACGAGGATGATGAAGAACGCCAGAAGAATCTTGGCAAGTCTGGTAGGACGAGTACCTTTCAGTTTGTTCGTGTGTGCATGTGGTACTGGAGAGGTTTCCGGGACTTGGCCGATTGTGATCACAGGGCGGTGCCTGCAGCTTGAGGCATTGCCTCCCACGCCAAGAGAATACTGTTTGAGTCTGCACAGCCGCAAGGAAAGCAGCTGAATTGGTTTTGCCCATAGTCACCATAGTCTTGGTGTCGGTGCATGTGTCATCCCTAAGCCCTAAACCCTCAGGCCGCATCTCTGAGCAGGGATCCCCAGCTCAGTACCTCGATCTCAGACAGAACCTGCTTCCAGTCCAGCACATGGGCCGGGGGGCAGGGCCTGTGGAGATTCGGGTGACGTGGGGCCCAAAGTATGTTGCAGGGGCGAACGAATTTGGGTCATACAGGAGGCCTTGAGAAAGCAGAAGCTTTTGCAAGGTTTTTCAGGGGCTTTGGGGAGGGGTCGGGGCCTTTAGGGGGCCTCCAGGAGGCGGGAGGCGTCCAGGGGCCTCCAGTGCACCTGCAGGGTGCCTCCAGAACAAGTTGCAACGCTTTGCTGGGGAAAGAGATGACTCGCCCCCCTCATGCTTGGGTGGGCGGATATACCCATGATATGGTAATGTAGGGTAACTTACATTAAGTTCCTTAACAGCAACCCAGTATCAGAAATCCAGTGGGCCACAATTCTTGCAACATGTGAATGGATGCATATGAATTCAGGGAGGTGAGGCTTAACGGTAGTTGAAATCTGCACATAAATCAATGTGCAGAAGGTAAGTGTGGCTCCGACCGATTCTTATTCTTTTCTGTTTGCCGCTCTTGTTACATCCTGTTATGCTGAATCCCATATGGTAATTTCCCAAAATAGGGGGACCCAAATATAGACCCTATATACTATAATCCTTATTATAGGGACCCCCAAAAAGGTACCCCTTATTTTGGGAAACTCCCCATATCTACCTGACACCTCAGATGTTGCCTTCTGAGGGTGTCAGCCCTTTTTCAAGCGCGGCCAAGGATGCCTTTGCTGACGTCTTCAGGCAGCCCCGTCCCCAGGCAGGGAATCTATCCCACAAGGCCCCTCAGCTTCAAGTCCTTTAGATTGGTTTGGAGCGCAGAGTTCCGGGCTTAAGTTTTTTGGAGTTAAGGGTAAGTTCGTGGGTTACGTCGCAACGTTGAGCAGCAACTACCTCGGTTCCTGTCCTGGTATAGTTTCAGTGATGAATCTTACCAGAAAGCTTTTCTGCACGTCTAAATCCATTGACTGAAATCTTTATGTTGCAAGATGGCTGTAAGATTGTTGTCAGTTTGCTGAACGGGTATGTGGACATGGGTTGAGAGGTGGCACGTGTACTTGATCAGTCTTTCAAATGGAAGGCTTTCATAATCCACAACACTGTTCAAGAATGATAGAACCTTACTTGGTTCAACTGCCAACGAAGAAGTACCTTGGTGCACGCATTCAGATGTTTCAGCGGCGTTCATGGGCCCACTGCAGTCTAGCAGACGAGTGTAATCTTCCCAAACCCTTAACGCCTAAACCCCTAAACCCAAAACCCTGAACCCTAAACCCCTAAACCCAACCTGGAGCTCCAAGTCTTACCTCTTCAAAACCCAGAATTCGGGGGTTTCATGGTTCAGGGTGTAGGCCTAGTCCGAAACCCGGACCCCCAGCCCTGTCAACCACAAAGCCTAAACCCCGCACAGACAGGCTCCCCTGTAAAGGACCCCGGAAGCCCAACTGAACCCTAAAGCTCTAAACCCTACAGAATCGGGAGCTAAACCCTAAACCCTAAACCCTGCTGCCAGAGGCCACCTGGAGTGGTGTACGGCTCTGCCTCAGCGTCAAAGTGAGACCCATGGGCCCACGGGCCCGGAATGAGCCCACTTGCAGGGCTAGGACTTTGAGATTAGGATTCCGGCGCGTCAGGCTTCCGGATATCAGGTTTGCAGGTGATGCTTTCGAAGCGGGCAGCGTCCTTTTCACAGCAAATGCAAGGGCCAAGTGAGTTGGAGAAAAAAGGAGTTGTGGAAAGTTCCAGTCCTTGCAACTTGCGCTAGGATGTGTGTGGTTTCCGAAGTTGCCGCACAGTATCAGGTGCCACGTCATGAAGTGCATCACAAAATTGCCAGTATTTCAGTTCCCGACTTGGTCACAAGGTCCAGGTCAAAATCCTCGTGTTGTTGCATCTTGCAACGGCATCCGACTTGGTGTACAAATCCTCGTTGTTGCCTCTTGAAGATTGCCAATTCATCGCGTCGTGCCAGAAAGCAAGGCATCAGGATATGCATGTTGAGGTAAAGGGCTTAATAGGGATGATGGAAAATAACATGGAAACTACTATAGTATACTGGGGTTATATAGGCATTTTTCTGTTTCTCGAATACAGAAGTTACAGACCATGGGTATGTGCCAGCTTCTGCTCAACCAGACAACCGTGTCAGTTGCCGTAGGTGCGACAGTTCCCCCGAAGGAGTGGTTGTCCGAACTATGGTCCCGTTTGGGTGGCTCAAAAGTTCTTGCTGACAGGAGTCAGAAGTCCTTTTCTCTGAATGCAAGTAGTCCTGGCCCCATTTTTCCACAAGGATGAGGTAACGAAACCCCAAAAACGTTTCCTGCAATAAGTTACACTGAGCTTGCCCAGCCCCCGAGCCAGCTATCCAGATGTCAGGCTGCATATCCTTTTTGGGGTTTCCAGAAAGCTTGAAACTGCCACGTGCCCCACTACTGCAGAAGATAGGTGTTGCTTTGGTGTTTAGATGCTTTGGTGCTGGCTGCTTTGTTGTCTTGCTGCTACTTTAACTTGTAGTTTGCATTCCACTGCGCGCTGCAATCTAGCAGTCTCGATAAATGGGAGGACCCTAACATGGACCTGCCATAGACATACCTTGTGGCTTGTTGTAGGGACTCCCAAAGCAAGCCCTGATTTGGTTTTGAAAAAGCTTTGTCCCAGGGTCAGCGTTGAGGGTTGCAAGCAGCTTTGGGTGAAGGAAGTTCCTTTTATGGGCCTCCATGAATTTCTATTCAAGGGATGAATAAACAAGTCGAGCCTCACACAAGTTGTAGTCTTGAACATCAGGGTTGGATGCATCAAGGTTTTTGGACTACCATGAGCACTGTTGTGCACACACGTGGCAGGAGGGATGGAGTTTGAAGCGTGTTCTTGGAGCTCGAAGGGCAAGCAGTGATAAGACAAATGCTTGCTAGAAGTGTCACGGCCAACCATGATAATTTGCCGACAGGTTTCAGTTTGCCACATCTTAGTTGGTTTGGGCAGCGCGTGAGTTGCCCAGAATTGATTTTTCCTGCTCCCGGCAGCCGTCCGTCGTTTCCGCTCTACTCCTCTGACCTGAAAATGGATCATGACCGCTCCATCCTTGTAGATGATTGTCTCAGTTTTGCCAGGTGAGCAAAATTTATGACTAGTTGGATTTCAGTTTTGTCTTGTTCATCTCATGTTGCCATGAGTCTTTGTAGCCGTAGTGACAGCAAGCGTGGGCTTCTACCTCAAACCGTCAGCCCTGAACCTTTGGAGCCCTAAATTCTGAGCCCTACACTTCAATCCAATCCTGAACTCTTCACCTTAAACTGCGTACTGTAATGAACGCCATGCTACCTGCAGACCTCAGCGCAGGGGCTGTCTGGCAGGCCGACTGCATCCTAGCCTGGAAAACTGAAGTATATTGGGGTTATATCGGGGTCATATTGGGTATATGTTGGGCCTATTTCTGGGGTAATGGAAAAGAAAATGGAAGCTACTATATCATTTTGCCTGCCGAGACTAGGCCTACTGGCTAGGCCCGTATACGCCAACCCGACAGCCAAAGCTCTTCGCCTTAAACCCTAAACTTTAAGCCCCTAAACCCAAAGCTCCAACCCTAAACATTAAGCCCCGAACGGGGGTGGCTGACTTCGGCTTTGAGGGCTGCAAGGTTTTGCTTGCATCGCATTGGGTTTCAGTGACTGTGCGCATCTGTGCGCAATGTAGGGTTTAGGGTTTAGGACTTAGATTTTCTGGGTAGGCCCCTGGGATATTTAATGTTTCCCTAACTGCCTTAATAGGGGACCCTATATATTGATATTTTCAAAGGGTTTTAGGGGTCAACCCAGTTTTCTAGGGAGTGGAGGACCCAAGTTACGGCCAGGTAATGTCCTATAGCTTTTGAGAAGTACTCTCATGGATATTACGAATATCACGTAGTATTCCTGGTTGATATTGAGGCGTGTGAGTGAGAAGTGCTTGCCAGCAGCTTCATGGGACGCCTTGAACTGGTAGACTTCAAGAAGTTTGCACAATAATGCAGTAGTTTTCATTTCATTTTCCATTTTCTTTTTCATTTGAATTTCCATTACGGGGTAGTGTCCCTATGCAACGTTGTTTATTTCTATGATGTTTGCAGGCCTTGCCGAGAGTAGCACTCTTGACAGACGGACTCAGTACAACACGGCTGTGCTGCCATTGTTTTACACTTAAAATAACGTACATACTGCTTCCAAATACGCTGAAGCCTCAAACCAAGCATCCTGAATCCAGACCTGTTTTGGGTTCTTCTTTCCTTGAACCCTCAAGCTTAAACTTAAATCTAAAGCCGAGACAGGCATCACCAGCATGGATGACGGCCACAGCCCGGGTGAGATCGCTTCATTGATCCGCCTCGCGGAGCACTTGGAGGGTGGGCCCAGGGATTTCATGTTTGATTGCCTAAATTCAGAGAATCCCTTTTGTGGGGGAACCACCGTAGAAAATGAATTTTAGTATTCTGGGGTTTAGTTTTGGGTGCCTCTGCGTAGGGAAGCTACCATGCCATGTAGACATTGGAAAAGTTGAGAATTCTCTAATTCCTAAATCCTAAACCCTATATAACCCTATATACCACAGTAGTTTCCATTTTCCTTTCCATTATCCCAATATAACCATAACGGCTTCCCAGCCCCTCTGAACTGTTAGGTTTCTCAAGTATCATAAAAAGATTTTGGTAACCCCAACCCCCCAAAGTTAGGACCCTACGATTATCATATGATGGTTATAGGGTCCTTATTTTGGGGGTTGGGGTTACCAAAATCCCCTTATTGAATTAGGGTTTGTAATTGAGGATGGGGCTGGGGCATTGAAAGTGGGATTCAGGGTCTGGGGCTTAGGGTTTAGGGTTGGTTCTAGGGGCTTGGGTTTGCGGTTTTCTATGCGGGCTTGGATTATTGCGCCATCCTTTTGGTACGGTTGTCAGGTTTCAATCTGCAGCTATCGCTGCAGTGTCCATCTCCATAGCTTGCATGGAAAATCACCGTAACTCGCAAGACTCTAAGTGACCCCGCAACACAGGGTTATATTGGGAACTATAGTTGTGTAACATTGGGGTTATGTTGGGACAATGGAAGAGAAAATGGAGACTACTACAGCATGTGATCGACTTGAATTATCTTGCTGCTCCTACATCCCTAAACCCTAAACCCTTAAAGTTCCCGAGCTCAGATGCCCAGGAGGGCCTCGTAGCTTTCAAGATCTCATTATCATGTATATAGCTGCTATCAGAAAAAGAAATCACACAAAGGACAATGGGCAGCTTCTACATATATAGTCCCCCTTAAGTAGATAGAATACGGGGTATATGGGGATCTTATTCTAATATACCCAAAGCCATATTCTATCTACTTAAGGGGGACTATAATCCTTAAAACTTCCCCCAACAGGAGACCCCTAGCTGATATCTTCCCCTTGAAATCTCTGCTTATCCTTAGGGTCCCATTGGCCCCAAACCTACCCTTCCTAAATCCTATGCCCACCCTCAATCCGAAGCCCCAAGTCCCGAAAACCCTCCATTTTGAGAAGCCCTCAAACCTAAACCCTAAACCGCGTCATTGCTTGGGCCAGGCACCTGCGAGAAGGATGCCAGCTTCTTAGAGCTGCTTTAAGCCACGCAGTTTAGGGGTTAGCATATAGGGCTCGGGGTTTTTTGGTTTAGGGCGAAGGGATTAGGATGTGGGATTTCAGGTTTCGGGCTTAGGATGCAAATTTAAGGGTTAGGATTTTGAATTATACATCCCTATTATTAACACCTTCAACCCTCCGACGTTGAATACTCCCATTGCGGCATGCTAGTGCATGTATATGTAACCCTAAACCCTCTATATATATATATACACAAACATACATACATACATGCATACATACATACATGCATACATAGATACATAGAGAGGGAATGTTTAACATCAGGGGGAGGGGCTTGAATAGTACGGGGAGGGGATTATGCCCAAAACCTTATTCCCTGACCTGCGTGGAAGTCTCTCAGGATGATCTTCATTTAACCCCTAAATATGGACCCTTTTAATTCCTCCCTACGTTCTTCATGGGGGCCATGTATCTGGAGAAATTTTTGTACAATTCCCAAGAATAGTGCTTGTTTTGCATAGTCAGAAGTCCTTATAACCTGTTCCCCCAATTCCAAGTAAGCCTGAAATAGTTTTGGCGTTGGTTTAGGCTTTAGGGTTTAGGGTCTAGGGTTCACGGTCCCTTTTAAACTTTAATCCCCAAACCCTAGTCCCCGACCCTTACTCCCTAAACCTTGAACCCAATCTCCTACGCCCTAGCCCCTGAGCCCTAATTCCTAAACCCAAATCCCCATACCCTAATCCCTTAACCTTAATCAGGATTCCGCAGAGCTCGCAGAAGCCATGGACCTGTTCATCGAGGCCTCGGGCATTGGAGATTCCTAGAAATTATGAGCAGAACCCTAAGCCCTAAACCCTAAGAAGGTGGTTTCAATTTTATTTGCCATTGTATGTATACCCTATTTGGAACCCCTATAGCCGCTGAAGGGCCTCATAAATACTTTGCACAGAACCTACATGAGCT